CAATGCTGCCATTGCCACCATCAAGACCAAGCGCAGCATCCAGTTTGTGGACTGGTGCCCCACGGGCTTCAAGGTGGGCATCAACTACCAGCCGCCCACGGTGGTGCCAGGGGGTGACCTGGCCAAGGTGCAGCGCGCCGTCTGCATGCTGAGCAACACCACAGCCATCGCTGAGGCCTGGGCTCGCCTGGACCACAAGTTCGACCTGATGTACGCCAAGCGCGCCTTTGTGCACTGGTACGTGGGCGAGGGCATGGAGGAAGGGGAGTTCTCTGAGGCACGGGAAGACATGGCTGCTCTGGAGAAGGATTACGAGGAGGTGGGCCTGGACTCCTACGAGGATGAAGAGGAGGGTGAGGAGTAGAGAAGCCTCAGCCCAAAAGGACCATGCTCCTTCCCAATGTTACCTGCAGAAACCCTTTGCAATAAACCGTTTCAGAGCCTCTGTGTCTCCCACTATCCCCCCAGCTGTATCGGTTTCTTGCCAGGTCAGGTGTGTGGTGAGTGCTTCAGCCCTGGTACTGGTGCTGCTATGCTTCCTCCCAGTGCTCTGCTCCAGCTCCGGCTTGCTTCCCATGTAGGTAATAGCCCTGGGGTCCAGTCCCTGGGGCTGTGGCACACATCCTACCCCCCTCACTGCTCCATCCAGCAGTGAATACCACTTCCTCATGTGATGTATGGCCCCATGTTCTACCCTGGAGCTCAGGGGAGCAGATTTGGTCTGAGCAGGAAAAGATCGGCAGCTGCAGAGTCTTCTCCCCATGTGCAGCGTGAGGACAGGCAGGCTCATCTGGAAGGATACTGGTTGAAGCAGTGGGAGCAGTCTGGCACCCCTGCCCCTGTGGCCACAACGCAGGGCAAAGGGTATGCACGGCTCTCTGGTGCAGTGGGTGCACCCTGCAAGGGGACCCGGCATGGCACAAACCCCCATGGCTGCTGTACTGCTGTGTGTGGTGAGAGGATTAAAGGAGGGGAATGCTCCCTGTGAAACTGCTTGTCTGCATCTTTTTTTTTTAGCACCCCTCTGTGGACAGCCCAGCTGCTGTGTGTCCCAGTGAGCCCCTCCAGCCAAGGCTGCCTGCTGGACTGGGAGTGTCCCCAGCACTGGGATGGTTGTGCTGTCCCCAGGCTCTGCTCATTCCCACTAGAGCAGAGCTCCTGCTCCTGCCTCCCAAGGTCTGGCAGCTTCCCAGTCTGGGCACCCACCTCCCTCTCCCTGGGCAGCAGAGAAGTCTGGCCTGTACCCCTGCCACCACCCTTCTGCCTGCGCTGAGCCCAGCCCCAGAGGCTCTGAACAGCAGTGCCTGGCTCCAGCTGTGGAGTTGTGTTAGCTTCTGTCAGGACGGTTCTGGGGCCAGGGATTAACTTTCCCTGCTTACTGCTAATGCTCTGTCTGTGCCTCCCCAGCTGGCCTCTGCTGCCCTTCCCCTCTAGTAACGCTTGGCTGCTTAACCCAGACAGTGTGCCCTGCTCTCCTCATGACCCGGCAGGATCCCTCCCCACAGACAGGGACACAGCCACACCTCCGCAAGAACGTATTTTACTTCAAACACAAGGCAACGTTGGTGCCAAGAGCAGTGGCAGAGTGGGCACTGGGGCCCTCTGCCTCCCTCCAGCACAGCACCGGGACCCAGCCTGCAGTTCTGCCCCGGGCAGGAGTGACCTTCCTGGGACACGGAGCTGCGGTACCGTGGCTCCTGCCCCCTGGGGGGTCCTACAACATCCTCTTCTGTCACCCCTGGGGGAGGCAGCAGCCAGCGAGGGCCCCATGTTTAGCAGCAGATCACACGTCCACAGCTCTGAGGCACAGACCAAGGCCCAGGTAGCAGCATCCAGGGCACAGAACACTCCAAATCCAACACACCTCCAGCATAGAGCAGCAGCTCTCCCCCAGGGCATTAGTTCCCTCTGCAACAGGTCTGCAGGGGAGCAGGGATTAGGGCAGCTGCTTTTCTCCTGGCTCAGCCTCGGGGCGCATCACTGCTGGAATGGGATGGGCTCAGATCTGTGTGGTGTCCTGTCCCGCCAGTGCTGGCTGCAGCCCCTCCAGCTGGTGGAGGATGTCATCTATGTTGGGTCGCTCCTGGGGGTTCACTGTCATCATGGAGGAGAGCAGGCGCTGCAAACCAGCTGAGTACCTGGAGGAAAGACAGCGACAGGGAGACCCATGTGGAGCACAGGACAGGGGGCTACCCAGGAGTGGGGTCACCCTCCCCAGCCCCTCACCTGGTTGTGGGGGGAAACGTGATCGGGTTCTGCACTGCCAGAGCCACACTGTCACCCTTCTGGAAAATGGCATCAAAGGGGCCCTCCCCAAACATCATGCAGTACAGCACACAGCCTAGGGACTGGAGCACAGTTGGGTCAGGGCAGCTTCGTGGCAGTGGGACAGGGTGGGCCAGAAGGCTGGATCCTTACCCAGATATCCGTGCGCTCATCTATGACGCACTGGCTCGGCACCGTGAAGAGCTCAGGAGCACGGTAGGAGATGGTGCAGCGCTGGGCAGCCCAGTCCTGCAGAGGGGAGAGCGGGGATAAAGGGCTTGGGGCAGGGAGAGGCTGGTGGGGTGATGTCCCAGGCCACCCACCTGCACAGCCATGGCCTCCCGAGAGCTGTTGACTTCGATGCGAGCTTGGTTCATGGAACCCAGATCCATCAGCACAGGCTGGTCATCCTCATCCAGCAGCACATTGGTGGGCTTGAGGTCTCTGTGGGGATAGACATCACCAAGCACCCACTGGGGCCCCTGCCAACCCCCCCAGCCAGCACTGCCAGCCCCTCACCTGTGTGCATAGCCCTTGCTGTGGATGGCTTGCAGCCCGCGGCAGATCCCATGGAGGATGAGGAGGATCCGCTGCTCTGGCATGAAGGTCCCTTTCTCTCGCAGTGCTTCCACCTCTCTCCAGAGGGTCCCGCCCTGGCAAACACAAGCAGCTGGTCACCACTGCTGCTCCTGGAGTGGTGAGGCAGCCAGGAAAGCCCCTCTCACCTTCACATAGGGCAGGAGAAGCCAGGCCTCGTGCTTGGCGCCCTTCTCCACCATGGCGTGAGCCACCAGGCGCAGGATGTTGGGATGGTCGAAGAGGCCGTGCATCTCCACCTCGTGCAGGGCGGCCTGGCGGTCCTCCTTGTCGTGGCACAGGATGCGCTTCAGGGCGTAGAAGCGCCCATCCCGCAGCCCCTCCACCAGGTCCACATAGCTGAAGCCCCTGCAAGGAGTCAAGCATGGCGTGGGCTGAGCACTGTGGCATCCATGTCAGGGCCTTGAGCCCAGTCTAAACTATCAACACTCAGAGGAGAGGCCAGAGGGAATCCCTCAGCCATGCCAAAGCATCCCCTCTCTGCATGAAAAACCCCACTGGTCCAATCACCCCCACTCCCATGGCTCTGAGCACCCACTCCTTGGCATGACCAACCCCTGCCACCTAGCATGAGAATCCACCGCCATGCACAAGCATCCCTTATGCTGAAGCATCAACCCCCACCAAGCCCAAGTATTTCCCCCATGCCCCAACGTGACCTGAGCTCAAGCATCTCCCCACCCTGCCCGACCATTCCCTGTGCCAGACCATCACCCCCCTGCCCAAGCATGTCCCTACGCACAAGCACCCCCCCTTATCTAAGCATCTCCTTATGCCTGAGCATCACCCCCACGCCTGAACATTCCCGTGCCAAATCATCCCCCATGCACAAGCACACCCCTGCCCAAGCACGCCCCCCATACTCGAGCACTCCCCCTGCACAAGCGCCCCCAGGCCCGCGCGCCTCCCCATACCCGAGCATCCCCCAAGCCCGAGCATCCCCCATGCCCTAGCACATCGCCCCTCCGCCCGTAGACCCCCCTTGCCCGAGCATCCCTCGCAGACCCCGGGGACCCCCCGCCGGGGACCCCCCGCCCGAGCCCCCCGCGCCCCAGCCAGCCGCGCACCCCTCTGCCAGGCGGTGGAGCAGGAGGTACCGCGCTCCCCCCAGGCTGACGGTGCCCCGGGAGCAGACGCACAGCGTCTGCCCCATCGCCCGCCCGCGTCATCGCCCGCCGCCGCGCGTCACCCCCGGCGTCACCCGCCGCGTCACCCACCGGGCGGGGCGCCGCCGCCTCCCGCTGCTCGGTGCCGCCGCTGCGGCGGGGATCCCGGGCTCCCTCCTCCGTGCGAGCGGGGACAGCAGCGCCCAGCGCCCGGCAGCCCCGCGCGGTGCCCCCGGCGCGGTGGCATCCCCCGGTGGCGGTGGCGGCGGCAGCCCGCAGCCCCGCCGCTCCCGGGGCTGGCCCCGGTGAGCCAAACCCCTCGCACAGGCGAGCAGGTTGGCGCTGCAGGGGACAGAGATGACGGAGCCACCTCAGCGGAGCTCGTCCTTCCCTGCGGCATTTCCCGACACACCTGTCATCAGCTCTAGCCCCAGCTCTGACCCTCTGTCCGGGGATGTTTTCCTTTCCCTCAGCCAGCAGCAGCATCCCTCCTACTAGAGCTACAGCCAAGGTTTCCATCACCACCTCTCTGATGGAAAAAGCGGGCTGAGCTCGCTGGAAGGGTTCTGCTTGGTGGTGATACTTTTATGAGGCTCCTTGTCCCCCCACATGTGTCACCCACTATCCCGGGGGGCACCGGGGATGTGCCCGCCGGCCGGAGCCTTCTTGGTGGTGTGCCGCCAGCATCCCCTGCTGGATGGGCTTTGGAGAGGCTGATGTGCGGCTGGCCAGGCGTGGAGAGTCGGAGCCGCCCATCCCCGTCCCATGATCCCGCCCCAGCCGTGCTGCAGTTCCAGCTGCTTGCACTGAATATCTGGAGGAAGCAGCACTCGGCGCTGGCTAAGATCCTTCTCGGATCATGTGATGGTGGTGTCCACGTCCAGCTTCGTCCTCTGCCCCGGGCCTGCTGAGCACCCGGCGAGGATGGGGCTGCTGGCCCTGGCCCTGCTGCTGGCGGTGAGGCTCCTGAGTACGCAGGTTAGCAAACATGGGTGGAAAAGTTTGGGAGAACCGTGTGGAGCTAGGCTATGAAGGATCCGGTGGGATGACACCGGAATCTGCCTTGCTTCCCTCTCCGTGTTCCTACTCTTCCTGCTATGGCTTCCTTGTGCTGCCGCCCACGTCCCGCTCCAATGTCCCGCTTGCATTTCCAGCTCCCTGCCTGTCCTTTCAGCACCCCTCCCAGCAGCACCCGTCCCCCAAAATGCCACTAGCTCAGCCGCTGGATGTTTGATTAGCAGGGAGGGTGTGAATGGTTGCTCTGCTTATCCCTTCTGCTCTCCCAGGGCAGTGTGGTACTCTCCTCGGGGGATAGCCCCCCCAGAAATAGCCCCCATCAGTCCCTGTCCCAGGGAGCATGGGAGGGGGCAGGTGGGCTTGCAGAAAGTCTTCTGCCCCCCCAAAACTGCCACTCTCCTGCAGGCCTCTCCCTCACCACGCTCCTTCCAGGTGGATTATGAGCGCAACTGCTTCCTTAAGGATGGTGTCCCTTTCCGCTACATCTCAGGCAGCATCCACTACGCCCGTGTCCCGCGGCCTGCCTGGAGGGACCGGCTGCTCAAGATGCACATGAGTGGGCTCAGCACTGTGCAGGTGTAAGCCCCAACGGCGCAAGCCCACTGCCACACTGCCACCACAGCCACTTGGGGTTTCTGGGATCTCTGGAGTAGGAACAGAGACAAAGGTGTTGTCTGGCCACAGGGAGAAAGGTCCAACACTTGCACTGGGCTGTTGTTCCAGGACAACCCTGCCAGACACAAGCATGAACCTGGGCTAGTGCCAGTCCAACCCCAGTTGCCATAATCAGCTCAGGCTGGAGGCCAGTTCCCAGAAGCAGAGGGACCAGCTGGTGGGATGGTTCCCTGTTCTGCTGGAGTACCCTTAACCCCTGCATGCTGATCTCCCCTCTTGCCCCAGCTATGTCCCCTGGAACTACCATGAGATGCTGCCAGGGGTTTATGACTTTACTGGGAACCGGGATTTGGAAGCCTTCCTGGACCTGACAGCTGAGCTGGGACTTCTGGTGATCCTGCGGCCAGGGCCCTACATCTGTGCAGAGTGGGAGATGGTGAGCCCTGGCCCCCAGCATGGCAGAGGGGTGATGGGTAGTCTGGGAAGGGCTCAGCGGGGTTGGCCTTTCTGGCTGCCACAGTGACTCCAGTGTCATGCCAGCCAAAGTTGCTGCCCTGTGGGGCACATGCTGCACTGGTGCTGAGCATTAGCACTGTGCTGGCTGGTTTCAGCTGTGTGTTAGCCCGGGCTGCTGAGCAGTTTCTTTGCTTCTCTCTCTGCTGTGTGTGTTTCTCCAGGGTGGCCTACCTGCCTGGCTGCTGTGGAAACCAGACATCATCCTGCGCTCCTCTGACCCCGGTGAGGCTCAGCACAGGGCTCTGGCCACTGTGTTCTTACAGCCTGGTGCCAGCCCTGGCACACTGGTGTCTCTCCACACACCTGCCAGCCCCACGTGTTGTCTTTCTTATAGTCTTCTCCATCTTTTGGGAGCCTCGTGGTTTGTACTCCACCTCCGCTTCCCCATTGTGCTTGGCCCTTCCCTGTCTGTTCTGTCTTCCTCCTGGCAGGCTGATTGCAAGTGGGCTGGGGTGGATGCTGCAGCCAGGCTGAGCTGCCCTCTGTCACCCCAGCCTACCTGGCAGCTGTGGACTCCTGGCTCCATGTCCTGCTGCCCAAGATCAAGCCACACCTGTACCAGCATGGGGGGAACATCATCAGCGTGCAGGTAAGGTGCCGTGGGGCCCAGCTCCCTGCCCTGCTCTGGGGCATCTTTGGATGTGCCCCGAAAAGGCACCTGTACACCCTACACCATGACCTCACCCAGTACAGCTCAGATAAATCCCTCTCAACTTCTGGACCTGGGTCTAAATCCAAAGGCTGGAAATCTGAGGTACCTGTCATCACCCCAGTTGTGGTTTGAGGGACACTGGCAGAGATAGGGCTCATGGTGGGGCTGAAAGATCATTTTCAGGACACACCTGGGGGGTTTCACTACATCTAATGATGTCAGGAGGAAAGAGGGGAGCTGGGTGTTTATCCCAGTGGGTGGTGGGACCTGGCTGCAGCCCTGCAATATGCATCCTGGGTGCCAGCCCCTGCCTTGCTCACAGGTGGAGAATGAATATGGGAGCTACTATGCCTGTGACTATGGATACCTGCGGCACCTGCTGGGCTCCTTTCGGGCGCTGCTGGGGAGTGAGGTGCTGCTCTTCACCACTGACAGCACGCGAGCGGAGGAGCTGCGCTGTGGCACCCTGCAGGGGCTCTACGCCACCATCGACTTCGGGCCAGGTACCCCTCCGGGGGAGGAGGAGGACAAGGAGAGAGAATGGGGATTCCTTCTCTGTCCTGCTCAAACCTCCTCTCTTCACCTCCACAGGATCCAATGTGACAGAGCTGTTTGATGCCCAGCGCCGTGTGGAACCGAAGGGCCCCCTGGTGAGCTTGGCATGGGCACTGTGGGGGAATGACCTGTGATGGCTTTGGGGAGGCAGAGGCAAAGAGGGGTGTTGGGGCCAGGCTGCAGGTGAGCAGGGGGAATGTGGATGACGAACGGGTGCCAGGAGCCCCAGGTTCAGGCAGATGACAGTCCCTTTCTCCCCTAGGTAAACTCTGAGTACTACACAGGTTGGCTGGACTACTGGGGGGAGGCGCACGCCAGCACCAGTGCAGCGTGGGTGGCCCAGGGGCTGGAGGACATACTGCAGCTGGGAGCCAGTGTCAACATGCAAGTAGTCAGCTGGCAGGGGGCACAGCCAGCAGGGGAGGTGGCATCACCTCTACCTTCATCCCACGGAGTTTGGGCAGGCAGGGCTGGGACTGTGGGTGCAGCAGGGAGGGGCCAGTGCCTGGTGAGTCCCTGCCAAGTCTGTGTGGGTGCTGACTGGGTTCTCTGGGGTTATCATAGGTACATGTTTCATGGAGGGACGAACTTTGCCTACTGGAGTGGTGAGTAGGGCCTTGCCCTAGGGAGGGGGCACTGTGGGGCTTGGGGGGCTTTTCTTGGCCATCCCTGAGGAGCCTGCTTCAAGCTGTTGTTCTGTCTCATGGGGCAGGCTGACACATGGCCAAGGGCCCCTGAACCCAAGCTTGTCCTCGCCTGGGGACTCCTTTTGTCCCTAGGCAGGGGTCCACAGTTGGGGATCATGCCCTCCGATTGCATTGCAGCCAGCCTGGGGCTGGCTTCCATGCCCTGGGCTGTGCCAGAGCCCCTTCCTCCTGCTCACATTGCTTCCCCGGCCAGGTGCTGACTACAAGGACCAGTACAAACCAGTGACCACCAGCTATGACTATGATGCCCCCCTGTCAGAGGCAGGAGACCCCACTGAGAAGCTGTTTGCCATCCGCATGGTCATCAGCAAGGTATTGAACTTGGCAGGAAGGGGACAGTACTGGGTAGTGCTGCCTGTGCCAGGACAGAGGGGAACATAGAGGGTCCCAGCAGGGCAAGGGACATCTCCCTGCTTGCCCCATGGGGCAGCTGACAGTTTGCTGTTCAGTTCCAGCCCCTGCCAGTCGGTCCGATGCCACCTGCCACTCCCAAGTATGCCTATGGCTGGGTAGCCCTGCGGAAGGTGAGTGCCTGTCCAAAGGGCTGTGCTGCCCTGGCCTGGCACTGCTCAACTGCCCAGCACCCATCCCTCCTTTGCAGTATGCTGACCTCCTGGATGTCTTGGATGTGCTGTGCCCCTCTGGGCCCATCCAGAGCCAGTTCCCCCTCACCTTTGAGGCCATAAAGCAGGTGAAGGGCTGGGAATAGTGGGGGACACTTGGGGAGATGCCCCTGTCTGCCTGGCCCTGGCTCTGGGGCAGAGGAGCAGAGCTCGTCTCCAGCCCCATTTCCCCTCTGTGCTGCTGTGCTGTGTCCTGCAGGCCCATGGCTTTGTGCTGTACCGCACACAGCTGCCCCGGGACATCCCGGACCCAGCCACGCTCAGTGCTCCTCCCCACAGCATCTGTGACCGTGGCTACGTGATGCTGCACAAGGTGAGGTTGTGGGAGCACACCAGTCCCTGGGCCAGGGCTGAGGGCTGTGGGACAGCCAGCAGTGGAGCTGTGCCACGCCAGGGCCTTGGGGACAGCCAGAGTGCTGAGAGCCACACCGAGCCCTTGTGGTGTGGCTCTCTAGCCTGAATCTGTCCCCTTTGGGGGCAGAGGGCAGCCCTGGGCTGGCTCTGCGACGGCTGGCAGCACTGGGGGTGGTGGGATCTGAGCACAGACTGGCAGCACTGACCTTGCGGCTTTAGGAGTACCAGGGGATGCTGGAGAGGGATGGGCAGATGACACTGCGTGTGACAGGCAAGGCAGGGGACACCCTGGACATGCTCCTGGAGAACATGGGCAGGATCAGCTTCGGTGCCAATGTCAGTGACTTCAAGGTAAGAGGAGAGAGCCCTCCAGAGGGAATGGCCTGGCCACCCACGTGACCAAACACCTCCTCTACTGCCACCTGTGACAGACCCCAGCCTTCAGGGGGGCCACCCCAAGTCCTGTTCCTTGGTTCATCTCACACCATTCCCTGGCAAACCTGCCAAGACAGGACTGAGAGACTGGCACCCCTCTCCCACTTAAGGTGCCATGGCAGCCAGGGCCCTTCAGGCCCTCAGAGGGAATCCTATTCCACCTTTGCTGCTAGGAAAGTCAAGTATCCTTCTGCCTGTGGCAGACACTGCTACCTCATTTTCCCTCCTGTTCCATATCAGGGCTTGTTGGGAAACGTCTCCTTGGACTCTATCCCTCTCAACAACTGGCTGATCTATCCCCTGGCCATAGATACTGCAGTCCAGCAGGGCTGGCCCCACGCTGCCATGCCAAAATCAAGCAGCAGGGGCAGAGCAGGGCCAGCCTTCTACACCGGGACCTTTGAGACCCCTGGCATTGCCTGGGACACCTTCGTGAAGTTCCCAGGTTGGAGCAAGGTAAGGCAGTGCCAGGAAAGGGGGTGAGGGTAGAGCAGGACACAGCTCAGTCCCATCTCCATCATCTTCTAGGGACAGCTGTGGATAAACGGCTTCAACCTGGGCCGGTACTGGACCCACCGTGGGCCCCAGCAGACCCTCTTCGTGCCCGGCTCGGTGCTGCACGTCGGCTGTCCCAACAACATCACAGTGCTGGAGCTGGAAGGGGCACCCCTCACCCCCCTCTTGCTCTTTCTCGACCGACCCCTTTTCAACAGGACCCTCAGCCACAGCATCTCGGCCACAGAATAAACACAGTGCTGCTGGGCACTGGCCTTGCTTCTTGCTGGGGCTGCGGAGATGGCAGGGGGCTGGTGAAGTACAGAGGCTGCAGGGTCCTAGGAAAGTGGCACAAATCCTGGCATAGACATACAGAGCTTCTGCCCTCCTCTCAGGCCAGGCAGGGCTTGTGCTAATGAGAAAGGGGCCCAGGATTGAGATTTATTTGCATGTTAATCCCACATTCATCCCAAATAGTTCCAGTACTCATGCTGACTCTGCCCCTGTCTAAGGGGTCAAGGCACCTTTTTATTGACAATGTAGGCAGAAGAGGTAGTTGCTAACATGACAGGGCTGAGATGCTGAGGGCAGCCAGGAGAGGAGAGGGCAAAGAACCACCTCAAAGGTGCCCACAAGCGTGGCTGCAGGTAGCTCAGGGCTGCAGGGTCTGTATGTGTCAGGATCTGTCCCTCCACCACAGACAGCAGCCTACAAGGTAGCCATGAGAAAAGCTGGCAGCAGGACCCCCAGCTGGAGCCGGGCCACCAAACAGTCCTGGCACCACACAGTAGCACAACCTCTCAGTTCTAACGTCCCCAGAGTCAGCACCCAGAGCGACATTCATGCCTAGAGCCTTGCAGAGCTGCCCCAGAGTGACATGGTCCACAGGCTCTCCCTTGCTGCACGGCCAGTGCTCAGCTGTGTCCCCACATTAGTCCTTGGCAGGTGGCAGCAGTCCCCAGCCTTAGGTGTGTCTGGCCTGTGCCCGGCGGTGGGTTTGCAGACAGGCCGTGGAGCAGAAGGAGAAGTCAAGGTAATGGAAAGGGATCCGTCCCAGCAGGGACTCTCCACAGTGCCAGCAGCGGCTGCAGGAAAGAACAGAGCTGGCCCTGAGTAAAGGGGACACTTGAAGAGAGTTAGAGGAGGAGAAGATTCACTGCCTGGGCTGTGACATGAGACACCAGCAGCATGAGGGAGCTGATGCTTGTCTGGTCCTGCAGGACTGATGTGCTCACCCAGCAGCCTAGCCAGGACATGCTCCCTGGAGGAGATGCTGTGTGGGAGGATAGTGTGAGGACACTTTGAGGCAGAATAAACATGGAGGAATTTGGCCTCATATGTAGTTGTAAAGCCCCTGCCCAAATCAGCACAGGCTGTGCTGGCTGCCAATAAGCCTGTGGGATGGCAGAGGGAAGAGATGTCAAGTCAGGAACAGGGGCAGAGGAGCGGCTGGGGAGTTGGCTTGCCATAGATCTGGCTGCAGGTGGACCGAGTCATCCTTTGCAAAATATTTCAGGGGAGCAGGGCAAGACAGAAAGCAATCTTTTATACAAGCACTGCAGGGAATTGAGTGGACAGGAATAGCTTTAGACTGGAAATGAGACCTGGAGCGAGAAGGGTAGGGAAGAGCTGTGCTGACATGGGAAAGTTTGTGCAGAGCCATGCTGCCGGGACCATTACCTGATGTTGGTAAGCGTTGTGCCGGTGTCCTGCAGCTGCGCAGCCAACCTCCGCTCGGCAGCCAGCGCCCTCTGGGGAGCAGAGAGACAGCTCAGCCACCCCTAGCCCCTGGGAGCTGCTGTGCCCAGAGCCCACCACAGTAGCACTGCCTCAGCAGGGCTCAATCCCCTTCCCAATGCACAGCCTCACCTTCTCCCTGTCAGACAGAGCCGCGAACCTCTGCTTCTCTTCCTGCTCCTGCTCCCAGCGCTGCCGCTCCTCCCGCTGCACTTGCTCCCGTTGCTTCCGCTGGGCTTTCTGTGCCCGCTTCTTCTCCAGCTTTTTGGCTTCCATCTCCTGTGTCAGGGGCCCTGGTACCTGGGGGCAGAGGGCAGGCAGCATTTCCCACTGAGCCTGGGGCAACAGCACAAGTGGAAGAGGGGCACTTTGCTCTGGGGTCCCCCAGCTTCCAGAAGGCAAGGGCAGAGGGCAGGCACCCACCTTGGCACGGCTGTAGTCGTACTTGTCTGGATGGTCCACCATGAACTTGCGGAAAGCGTTGCAGGTCGTTCTGTCAGCAGAGACGCAGTATGGGGTCCTTTCCTGCCTGTCCCTGCAAGACAAGGGAGACCAGCTCACCCTGCCACCTTACTGCCCGTGTCCCACTGGACTGTGAGCCCAGTGACTCCCCAGAAATATGCAATGTGTACTGCAGGCCATGGTATCACAGCCAAGGAGGGGAAAGTTCCTTATTCCTACACTAGAATCCTCAAAATCCTCCCCTTCTTGCATCTCAAAGCCCCAGTATGAGGCTTTGGTCTCATCCCTACCCTCAGAACTGCTCACCAATAAACCTGGGTGCACTTTGGGGCATTGCCTTGCCTGCTGCTGTGCCAGACCAGGCAGGCAGAGAAAAGGATGGTTCAGTGCTTAGGCCTCCCGTAACAAACTCAGACATCTGGGGTGGTAGAGACCAATCCTGTCTGTCCCAGGACAAGGGTGGCACCAGTTTCCTGCAGCTGAGACAGGAAGGAGTTGCTGGACTCCCACAGCAGAGCTGTGGTTGTCAACTGCTAGGGACTCTGCAACCATACCTGAGGGCAGGGTCTGCCCCTGCCTCCAGCAGCAGGCACACGGCCTCCGCCTTGCCTGCTTGCGCTGCCACGTGGAGCAGACTGCAGCCACGCTCATCCACAGGCTGATTGAGCAGGGAGTAGGCCATATCCAGAGTCTGTGTGACCTCCCCATCCTCGCTGTCCCCTGGCAGGCCCTCGCTCTCTCGCACACCCAGGAGGTGCCGCAGTGTCTGCACATCCCCTGTTTTGCAGGCGGTGAATAAGGCATCGCGGAGCTGGGTCTGAGGGTCTCCTATGAGGGGAGAACAGGAGAGAGTCTGATGCCTCCCTGGGCAGAGTGGTGCTCTGGTCTGACTAGGAAACATGCATGATGCAGTTAAAGCATCATCCTGCTAGCTGGATTTGGGCACTGCAGGATCTCCAGCACCTTCAGAGTCTCTGACAATGTACCATGGCATCGCTGGGCACTGTTGGTAGCAGCCAAGTCCTCTCCTGAGATAAGACCCACTCCAATCCCCTCAAAACACCTGGCTTAGCCAGGTGCTGCCTGGCCCTCCGGTTCAGAGCTACTGCTCCTACATACACACAGCTCACTCAAAGGCACATAGCTGCACTGCAGACATCCCACACCCAGCTGCTCTGGGCACCTGCATGACGTGCTCTTCACCCCACTGCAAAGCCACCAGTAAATGGGGCAGGCATCCAGGTGACCCAGCTCCTGACCCCACTTACCTCCATCACCCCAGAGAAGGGGCCCAGCCTCAGTCTCCCCCTGCAGCTCCGTCACTGGTTCCCAGCCAGGCTGCACACACTGAGTACAATGATATCCAGTCTCTTCAGCATAGGGCTCTGCACAAAGGAACACATGGTAAGGAAGAGGGACAGGGTCAGCCTGCACCTCAGCCATGGCCTTCCTACACCGCCCCCAGACAGTTCTTCCCCCTCACCTTTCTTCACCTTCTTGTCCCTCTTCTTCCTTTTGCGGTTTCGCTTGGGCATCACTTCGAACTCCCGGAGGTCCAAGGTCCCCAGTGTCACTTCAACAGTCTCCAGCTCCCCTGCAGGGCTTTCCTCCTCCTCTTCCTCCTCCACCTCTGGAGCTGAGGGAGTAATAAGACTGAGGCTCCTCACACAGGAGCAATCACTTAGGTCTCTCAGCTGAGCACACTCTATCTTTCTTCTGTCCAGAATGAGGCCACATTCCACAGATTCTCCTCTGGGCTACAAATCTGGTCCATGCCTCCTATCTGGTCAGACTCCTCCTGTTTGCTCAGTTATGTTTCCCTCCATGGCTCAACTCACCAGTTGTGTTCTCCTGTGGGGGATTCATCTCTGCTTTCCGCTGCCTTTTCTGCCAGACCTTCCTGGGGGACCCAGTGATATCCTCCAGTGGTGTATCCTTCCCTGGGCAGCAAGGGTGCTCCTGTTATTGCCTGGGGACAGGGAACACCCCATGTCTCCAGGGATTGAGGGCTGGAGATCTAGCACCTCCACCCCATAGGGCATCATCCCCTCCCGCACAAGAGATTACGTCACCCCACCTGCCCTGACCCACAGGAACAAGGGCTGATCTGACCTACCATACACCTGCAGGCTGGCCAGCGTGGCGTGGACTCGCAGCACCTCTCGCAGGGTGGCCCTGCGGGTGCTGAGGGGGATGTGGCAGATGCGAGGGTCCCCTCGGGTGAGGGGTGGGTTCCTGCCACCAAAGAGCAGCGCACGGTTATGACGAGGGGCCCGGAGGAAGATGCGCTGAGCTTCATTCAGGTGCTGTGCCCAGGCTGCCAGGAGGTCCTGAATATCCTGGGGAGGAAGGGGAAGCACTATGGGATCCTGAGCACATTGCATGGGCAAAGGTATCTCTGGAGCAGGGACAGACCCAGGAGGGCCTCAGAGTAGCCTCATTTATGCCCTGACCCTCTTGCAGAGCCCACACTCCTGCTATGCCCTCCAGCAGCAGTGTGGTACCATCTCAAACAGCCAGATAAGACCACGTCTCCCTGACAAGAGCCCAGTGCTGTGGTGCATCCTCACCTTGAGCAGAGCAGCCTCGTTGTAACGCCGCAAGGAAGCTCCAGCCGACCTGGGTGCTGACCCCTGGGCATCCCGCAGGCCCTGGGCTGTGCCACGCCGTGCTCGCACCGTGTAGCGGTGGAAGGTCTTGTGTTCCTGCACCTGGGGGCTGGGGAGAGGGGCAGGCATGAGCAACAGGGCTCAGCACGTGTGGGATTAACATGTAAAAGTAGCTCCACTTGACCATGCAACCCCGGCCAAGGAGTAAGCCCAGCTGTCGCTCTGTACTCACCCCCGGAACACAGCTCCTGCGAAGTGCCCACCACCCATCATCAGCACAACCCAGCACGTGCTCATGCTGAGGCTCTGCAGTGATGCTGTCAGCTCTGCTGGCTCCTCGATGTCACCCTGATACACAGACACCCTTGCTAGCAGGGATCACCTCCTTAGCTCTTGCTGTCCCCCAGGACAGAGATCAGCCCCTCTGCTGGCACCAGAAATAGGTTTCTGGGAGCACCCCAGAGCCAAAAAATAGGCCACCAGCAAGTCTGGTGCTCTGATCTGGCACCAGAGACCACCCTTCCCATCATGGGAAGTCAGGGACTGTCAGACAGATGTCTACCCCCCAGTGCCACCCACCTTCTCTGAGGTCCCTCTCCCAAAAAGCTGGGCTGTGACTTGCCTTCCCTGTGACCAGCACGCAGCGATATGCAGAGATGAGCTGGCCCTTTGCATTGCGGACCAGCACCTTGTGGGAGCGGGAAGTCTGTGGGGTCCCAGGGCTGTCACTGGCAGAGGGCAGCAACTCTGACTCACTGCTTGTATCAGAGCTCTCTGAATCGGATCCTGAGATGCTCGAAACATCACCTGCAAGGGAAAAAAAAAGGTGCAGTGAAACAGGGCAAAGATTAACCAAATAGCCTCCCCAAAACTCCGCAGGTGACTCCAAGAGCAAGCCCACAACCCCAGGAATGTTCTGTCCAATACCCTACATATCACAAGGGGGCTGTGAGTTGAGGAGATAGGGGCTTGGGGTTCTGGATCCGCAGGTACGCCTAGGCAGCAGCTCAGTTATAATGCCCCCTTCGCCCTAAAAAAATCATCAAGGCTCAGGAGCAGTGCTGGAACTCCAGAAGACCCCACAGGGGCAGAATAAAGGAACCCTGAGTTAGCAGAGGGCTTCATCCTTGCACAGAACAGGCCCAGCAAGGTCGCTGACAGCCCCTGGGCTCCAATGCAGACAGCCCCCTTCCTCACCTGTGCAGGTCTTCTCCTCAAACACTTCCACAGGCACTGCCCGGCGCCCCCGGAGTCGCTGCTTCAGGTTGAAGCGGTGCCAGTCGAGACGGTAGTGCTCAGTCTGTGGAGCAAAGAGGTATGAGCCAGCAGGGTCTTAGTGGTCCATGGAAACCCGCACCACCAAAGGGCATGAGGTGACAGACCCTGAGGGCTAAACTTATGCTGGGACTCTTCAGTTATCCTGATTGGAAGACTGCAGTACATTAAGGAACAGTTAACCTAAAGAGGTACAGCCCTGTGCTATACTTACATTTACTTCCACTAAATGACACTTCTAATCAATAACATGCAAAGTTTGAGTGCCAGATACCAACAGGACGTGAGCAGTAGAGCTCCAGGAAACAGCCAGCATTGGGCTGCATCATGCTGGGGCTGAGCTAGCACAGCAGGACCCCACCAGTCATGCCAGCCCCACGCCCACCTCATGGTGGCTGCCCAGCCCTGCTCACCTGCTCCTCCCGGCTGCCGAACACCTGCCCACAGGTTGAGCAGCACATCCTCTCTGGCATCTCAGGGACCTCATGGACCTTCTCCTTGCAGCTGGCGGCTGCAGGCTTCTCTGTAGGAAGAAGGAAGCGCTCTGCACAGTCAGCTCCCCAGGCTACGCCACGAGGAGCAGAGCCTCCTGGGTCCCTTCTCAGCCACCCAAAGAGCCCTATGGTTGTAGAAGAAGCTTCGGGGACCTTGGGGTGACACTGAGAAAAGCCCATTTACCTGCCCACAAGGCAGCACCCATGGCCAAGCTCCAGCGTGGCCACCCATGCTCTATTAGGGACAGAGTTCCTAACCTGTGGCTTGGGGCTGGGGGGCAAGAGCTTAGACAAATACTTCCCTCATGCCGTCCCCACGGAGTCCCACGCACCGTGGCTCACTGGTGCCAACTCAGCAGCACCTGCATCTGCAGCAACTCCACTGACAAGGGTCAGACCGTGAAGAAGGACGGGGTCCTGGGCAGCCTCGAACACGGACCTGCTCTCCGGGGCCAGCATTGCTCCTGCTCCTGGCGAATGGGACGGTGCCTGAGCGACAGGCCCGGCGGGAACCACCCGCGGGTGACCCACCGCTCTCTCTCCACCCGAGCCCTCCCTGCGGCCGGGACCTTCCCGCCGTCGCTGCCCCCGGAATCCTGCACCACCCAGGGACATTACCCCCGCGATCATCCCCCCCTAAGCTGCCATATCTCCATGAGCTGCCGTACCGTCACTCCTCCAAACCTGCCGTGCCCCCATCACCCCCCAATGATGGGCTTGGCTGCCGTACCCCAATGAACTCCCCAAGCTGCTGTACCTCCATCGCCCCCCCAAACCTGCTGTACCCCCACTGCCCCCCAAAAGCTGCCGTACTCCAGTGAACTCCCCAAAGCTGCCGTACCGCGATGACCCCCACAAAGCCGCCATACCTCCACCGCCCCCCGAAAGCTGCCATACCTCCATCAGCCCCCAAACCTGCCGTACCCCGATGACCCCCCGCGCCCCTCACGCGCCGCCTCCGCTCGGCCCGGAAGCACCTCTCGTCACATCCCGCCGCCGCCGCGGGGCCCGCCCCCCCCGCCCATTGGCCACCGCGCCCGCCCCCCACTTGCCCATTGGCCGCCCGTGTCCCACCCCGTGGTCGCCATTGGGCGCCGCTGCCGCCAGTCGCGGGCGGGGCCGAGCGGGCCGCGCCGGGCCGGGCCGGGCCAGGCCGGGCCGGTGGCGGCGGGGGGGCCCCGCCATGGCCCACTTCGAGACGCAGTACCAGCGCCTGGAGAGCTCCTCCACCGAGTCCCCCCCCGGCGGCGGCGATCTGCTTGTCCACGTCCCCGAGGGTGCCAAGTGTGAGCGGTGGCAGGGGAGGTTGGGGCCTGGCGGCGGCGGGATGCGGGGAGAGGCCAGGGACGGAGGGGAGAGGCTAGACACCGAGAGAAGCCGGGAGTGGGGGCTGCGGGGCCGGTTTGGGACCTCGGGGGCCCGGGGCAGCGGGAGAGAAGTGTGTTGTGCCGATCACAACAGCAGGGGTGAGTGTGCTGAGGGCCCCTCACCCTGTGCTGCTTCTTCCTTCAGCTCCGTGGCATCACATCGAGAACCTGGACCTCTTCTTTTCTCGAATATCCTTTCGCAGGGCGGGGGTCAGGTGGGATGCAACTCTCGCCTATCGGGCTCTCAGTGCGGGGAAAACATGGGGTTTGGTGTAACTTGGAGCTTGGGCAGTGTCTGCCCCTTCCAGTAGGACACCACACGGCTCCAGAGGGGCTGGCAGAAGCCCCAAACCTTGGGATGCTGTCACCCGACACTGAGGGTCAGACAGCTGCTTCCAGGGATTCTTGGCAGAGTGATGACGGTACTAAGTTGTAGTTACAATTAATGCTTTATTTTCTTAACAGATTTTATTGCTAGCATAGCATTTATAATCAGAGTAGCGGAGGGTTTCTGTAAGCAGAATGAGTGTAGGACAATTTTTTAAGTAGCACAGCACAGAATTTTATAGCATCTCTTAGCTTATGGTTTCTAATCACCTGGATTCTCTACAGATCAGGTCATATCTTAATACATGGTTTGCTATATCAGTATAACAGTCATAATGAGAATCAAAAATGCTATAAAAGAATACAAGTCACTCAGTTCTCAGAGAAAGCAGATGACAAGTCCCTGGCTACTGGGGGATCCTGGGTCTCACTGTCCAGCAGCAGTTCTGTTACAAGTTCCCACTTAGGACTTGTAACTCCTTGATTTTGTGGGCAATGCTCTGGGTGGGGTTACACTTCCATGTTCTCTGACTGGGTCATCACCTCTGTCAGGTTGGCCAGGTGCCTGGGACCTTCAAGGACAGCATGGGAGAGAGTAATCAGCCTGGAGCCAAGGAATCTTGAGGCTGGTAGGGAGAGGAAAGAGAAATCTGTTTGATTTGTGTACTTGGTTCACAGGACCCTCAGGGCCTGATAACTGGGGAAAGGGTGACCCTCTTGGTCATGGAGAATGGCTGCTTGCCTTACAGAATGATGTTAGTTATGCTGACCACATTGCCTGGGTCAGAAACAGGGACACCAGTCATAGGTGCTAGGTGCCGTTGAATGCATTTTTGCCTGCCTCTGTGTTGTCCTGCCTTGCCCTACCCATCCTTGTGCAACCTGAGGGCAGGCTGAGTTTCTTCTCTGTGCTGGGACAGACCCTGTTCTGGGTGTTGGGTGGGGGAAGAAAGGAGCATGGATGAAACCAAGTCCTCCAGTTGTGCTTTACCTGGGCAGAGTATGTTTTCCTGCAGTGGGGAACCAGCTTGCTGATGAGGAGGGTTGGGAAGGATTTTCTGCTGGTGGTGGAGGGAGACTTGACTGAGGAGCTGTGGAATACCAGTGGGACAGAAACTTCTCCATCATTCATCAGAGAGGACTGTCCAAGCTGTTCTCCTTGACTGTAGCTTTCACGTCTATAACCTGCATCAGAAGAATGGCTTCACTTGCATGCTCATTGGAGAGATCTTTGAGCTCATGTAAGTGCAGATTCCCCTCTGTTGTGGCTGTGACACCTGCTGGGGAACAGTCATAGGCATTTGCCAAGCTCATGCGTCTGGGAGGGTGGAAGGGCTCCTTTCATAGTTGTCCTGTCTCCCCCTCATTAGGGTTTTCCATGCCCCAAACCTGCACTTTGAGGAACCATTGTTCATGAGCTTTCCTGCTCCAATGGCTGTGGGAATGCATCACCATGACGTGTGACCCTGGCTGCTTCATGTTTTGGGGAGGGGAGCAGAAGGGTGATTCCCTCACACCCGCTCCTTTTTTTTTCACAGGCAGTTCATCTTTGTGGTGGCATTCACCACCTTTCTTATCAGCTGTGTTGATTATGACATCCTCTTTGCCAACAAAGCATTAAATCACAGCCAGCATCCCAGCGAGCCCATTAAGGTGACTTTGCCAGATGCCTTCCTGCCTCCAAATGTCTGCAGTGCAAGGTGGGTGCAGTGGAGGGCATGTTAGCCCCTGCTCTTGCTTTCCCAGGTACCAAGGGCACCTGTCTGGGCCTGTCTCCCCCTACTTGCCTCTTCTTGCTTACAGAATCCAGGCAAACAGCTTCCTCATCTGCATCCTGGTGATAGCTGGGGTTTTCTGGATCCACCGACTTGTCAAATTTATCTACAACATTTGCTGCTACTGGGAGATTCACTCTTTCTACATCAATGCCCTGAAAATCCCTATGGTAAGTAGCCGAACCAGGGGCTGTGTGTGAGGATGCTGAGGGTCATGGGAGGCATTTGCTGGGTGAAGCAACTTTCCTGCATGCCTCTCCGCTTCTCCTCAGACTTCTACAAAGCACTCTTCCCTCTGCTCCATAACCACATGGTCTCCCTTCAGCCTCTTCTCCAGCAGCCAGCTTATTCCATGTTAACCCCTCTCTGCCCAGCCTGCCTCTCTGCCTGCTGGCACGCGTCTCTGCCATCTGCCACTCAATATGTGTATTCTTTAGTGATGGCCTTTTCTGTGCTGCCTTCCACGGAGAAGGCATAAGCAAGGATATCCTCATACCCCTCTGGATTGTGGACAACCTCATCTTCCTTGTTTACTTTTGGGGGAACCGAGGCGTGGAGCTACTTAGTTGTTGAAGGTCACACAGGAGATTGGCATGTCAAAGGTGGGGTTTGAGGCTTGCACATACATCCTAATCCAGAGTCCTTGCTCTGATGGACAACATGAAAAGGTGTGTGCGCATCCTGTGAAGGGAGAAAGTGTCTTGAGAGAGGTGAGGTGAGCCAAGAGGCCCAGTTTCTCACCACCTTCTCCATGGGCTCCCTCAGGGACACTGCTTAAGTCCCTTCCCCTGTTTGTGTCTCCCTGCTGACTCCAAATGGCAGCTCTGGGAGGACCCATGGGAGCCTGGAGCTGTGTTTGTGCCTCCAAGGCAGCTGGTATGTGAGTGGCTGGGAAACAGTCATCTGTGCTAATCTAGGGGTAAAGGGCACCAGGGCAAGGTATGGGGTTTGCCCGCTGCAGGCTGAAGCGGTGCCAGGAGGTGCCTTGTGTCCTGGTGTTGCATGGGTTTTGTCAGCACCCCAAGGCATGCACTGGGACCTGCTGCTTCAGTGGGCTTAGCCCAGCTTCTGACCCTGGATGCCTCCTGCCCCTAATCTTGCTGCTTGTCCCCTTCCAGTCCACCTTGCCCTACTACACCTGGCAGGAGGTGCAGGCCCGCATAGTGCAGATCCAGAAGGAGCACCAGATCTGCATCCACAAGAAGGAGCTGACAGAGCTGGACATCTATCACCGCATCCTCCGCTTTAAGAACTACATGGTGGCCATGGTGAACAAGTCACTGCTGCCCATCCGCTTCCGCCTACCACTACTGGGAGACACAGTCTTCTACACACGTGGGCTCAAGTACAACTTTGAGCTCATCTTCTTCTGGGGTCCTGGCTCCCTCTTTGAGAACGAGTGGAGCCTGAAGGCTGAGTACAAGCGGGCCGGGAACCGCCTAGAGCTGGCTGAGAAGCTTAGCACTCGCATCCTCTGGATTGGCATTGCTAACTTCCTCCTCTGCCCCCTCATCCTCATCTGGCAGATCCTCTATGCTTTCTTCAGCTACACGGAGATCCTGAAGCGGGAGCCGGGCAGCCTGGGCGCCCGCTGCTGGTCTCTCTATGGCCGCTGTTACCTCCGTCACTTCAATGAGCTGGATCATGAACTGCACTCACGCCTCAGCAAGGGGTACAAGCCAGCTTCCAAGTACATGAACTGCTTTATCTCCCCGCTTCTCACCATCGTGGCCAAGAACGTGGCTTTCTTTGCTGGCTCCATCCTGGCCGTGCTCATCGCTCTCACCATCTATGATGAGGACGTGCTGGCAGTCGAGCATGTCCTGACCACGGTCACCCTGCTCGGGGTGGGCATCACGGTGTGCAGGTGAGGTTGGGTCTATGCTGCCCCTGTGCTCCTGGCAGCGCTGTGGGGAGCAGTGGGGCTGGTAATCCATGTAAACATGCTCTTTGCTTGCAAATGGATGTGAATCTGCC